CCAACACTCATGATTTTATTACATGATCCCCTGAGGTTTCTCTTGGTAGACATTTTATTTTATGAGAACTGCAGTTTTTATTTTGCAGACTTCATGGTTGAAGAGAAAAGCTTGACTATATGACCCTGCCCCCAACAGTTCAAAACCCAGAAGGCAAATCAAAAAGAACTTAATTCTCAAACCCTGATTTTTTTTTTTATTTTTAGGGGGGAGGAGGAGAAGTCCAATATGATTTAAGGGTGGAGGTGTCTTCATCCTTTTTTTGAATACCTGGGGTTTGCAATTATGTATTTTCACAAGAGTCCTGTTTCCAAATATTAAATATAATCCCCCCCCCACACACACACAGACCATATCACATTTTGATAAACACCTGCATATATTTACTTACACATTTGAACCGTATGATGTTTTCTACTTACCCCCACCACCCAGCTCCTAAAAAACATGGCGGTAGATCTTCATATGGAGCTTCCTGTTCTTTTGTATAGGCTTTGAGTAGTAAACACTTAACAAAGTTAAAATTTTATTAATAGTTGCATTAAGCTGTCCTGTTCATTTCAGTCATGCTAACTCAGAACTCCGTCCTGAATATCTAAGTAGGAGTAGAGAGGCACCTTATCTAAACTAACTGAATCAGAAATGCATAAGTTTTCACAAGCAAAAGCTCACTTCCATTTCCATCTCTTCTCATTTGCATCACAGCCATAGTAAACACTTCTCCCCTTTTAATTAAAACTGAACCACAAGAGAACAACTAAGTTGTCTGTTTACACCCTCTGCTAGTCCTTTGTGTTTTGCCTTGCTCTCATAGGGGAACGTCCCACCACTTTGGAAAATGTTGCCTTATAGCATAAATGGCATTTCTTTGTTTGCCCGCTGTGACATCCATCTCTGTATATAGAAATTAACTGCTTAATAGATAAATCCACTCTGTTTATTACTTTTTTAAACATGAAACTGTTTCCAAGCTCATTTACTGCTTTACATCTTTTTTTCTTTATCTTCCAAATTACAGTCAAACTTTGTTCTTTTCATGTTGCTATTTAAAGTTTCCCAATTATGACTGGCACAAACCAGCTCTTTTCTTCTGTTTAGAGAGATCTACAGAAGGACATTAAAAAAAAAAAAAGTTCTCAAGAGCCAATATCCCCCCTGGGACCACCTGGCAGGAAACCAGATGTTGTTTGCATTAATCTTCAAGCCAGGTCTGCAAAGGTTTCCTTAGTAATTTACGCTAAAGCCAAAGAGAAGCCCACAGACAAATACAGATCTAGGTTTGGGGGTTTTTTGCACAGAGTTCCTAAATACACCATTGCTTTTTATTTAAAGGGTAAAGTACAAGAGTATGGATCATTAAAAAAAAATTAACATCCTAGTCTGTCATCCTAGCTCGCCAGTCTCTTGAGAGTCCTGAGAAGTCCATCTGTATTTAGGAAAACAGGCAGTGAGTTCTTCTGACTTATCATACCTGGAACTACACCACACCCTCTTGCTCAAATGTCATCTCTATTAACAACATGTTATTTTTTATAGGATATGATATCATTACAAGAGCTTGTGCATAGTAATCATATTGGTGCAAAGTTGAGGGATTAGTAGAGTGTTTTTAGGCAGTACATTTACCATTCAGGCTACATTTGCCCAAGGTAAAGTGCTATATGTAATGTTTGAGTCTTTAAGAGAGTCCATAGCATAAGAAATGTCACTTTTGGTCCATTCCCCCTGCCCCTGCAACCTCACTCCTGGTAGGTATTCCTGACTGATTCTCCTTGTACTACTGATGGCCAATAATGCCTTCTATATAAATATCTCCATACTATCTGATGGTATGTGATACCATGAGGCACCCCACCAGCTTTGAAGTATTGCTGGGGTATTCTGCAAGTACTCGGGACACTGTCATCATTTAGGTCCCATGGGCTGAGTGTACCAAAGTTCAGAACTTGCACTGTCACATCATTCCTCTTCTCCCTCAAGGTGGGCTGCACTTACTAGTTCTTGCTCACGGGCTTAAGTGAAAACCTGCCACTGGTTCTAAAAGGAGATAGTCACACTGATAATCATGATTTTATTACTGATCTTATTGGTCACAACAATGTCTGTCTTTAGACGGTTGCCATGGGCTGGGATGGTTTGGTACATGGCCACTGCTGCAACTGATGCTAAGATGGCCTTGATCAGCCAGTCCTGTGTGTTTTATTATGGCAAAGTTGCTATGCCCTTGCAGCCACACAGGACTTGGGCAGGGTCTCATTCTTGTAGCCACATCTCTGACATTTCTTGTCCTAGTTGCCATAGCAGATAGTGCCATTGAGTGGAGGCAGTTGATGCATGCTCAGTGGATGAAACCACAGTCCACAAGCAAGTGAAATTACCTTTAGGCCAGGAGTGATTTCTGGCATCCCACTTCAAGGTGATCCCAAAGACTTTGGCCTGGTCAGGTTTCCCCTTCACACCCCAGTGGCTGAGTCTGTACTCTCCATCCTCATCCCACGAGCCATTGGGGACCTCAGCTGGTAGCTCCTCCATGGAGCCATCACCACAGGCAAGCTTTATGGACAGCCTGGTCTCCTGCCCCTTCTGCACATGACCCTCAAGTGCACCAGGCTGCAGCCACTCCACCTCCATCTTCAGAACCTCCTCCTGAGATTCTGGTTGAATCTCACCCCCCACCTTTTTGGTTTTGGTCACCCCATCCACGGTCCCACCAACTCCTGGTACCTCCTGGTCAACCTCCTCCTAGTCCTGGCCAAGTGGGCCCTGTACATAACCAGGAAGGAGGCTCTGGCCGGGAAGGTGCCTGGGGACTGCAGGGCCACTTTCCTCTCACTCATCCATGCACATTTCTGAACAGAGCACCAATGGGCAGTGTCCACCAGCTCCTTGGATGCCTTTGAGGAGTGGTGGGTGTGGCCCAGGGGGCTCTGCTCAGTGTCCCCCTCAGGCACACTTATTTCCATGCTTTGACCCTTTGACCCACATGACACTCCTATCCTGTTTTTTTCATTAGTTGTCCCAAGTATTTTGTTGTAGCATTCAACCATTAGCCCCCATACAATAGGGGCTACTAGTTAGCCGGGTGGGCCTTAGGACCCACGGTATTTGAATGTTACAAATAGACAGATTTCCCCTTCGGGTCATGGATGTACTTTGCTTGTATAGCCTCTTTCAGGACCCTCTCCACAGGTCCTCACTTTAGGAGTGGCCACAATCTGGTTGGTGGTTGGGGTCGGAAGCAGTGACATCTCCCCATCCCCCCATACCTCCTGCTGCTCCTTGCATGGTGTCCAGTGGCAGCTGATGTGCTCCCTGAGGTGTTGTGTGGCATTATAGGCATGTGTCCACAGTGAGGCAAAATTTCCGCCGTCTTGCCTGAACTGATCCCTCTGCAACCTACTTGGAAACATGGCCAAGTCATCACTGGATGGTGGACTAGAAATCCTCCTCTTGTTGGTCTCCCTTAGAGTACATGTGGGAATACTACTCACCAGCTCATTTGGGCAGGTTAGGAGGCAGAAGGCATGGGTCAGTACGACAATGTTACAGCTCTCCCATGTGAGGGATGTTGGTACCCCCTTCCTGTAGGGGATGTGTAGGACCTCAGTGCTGTCCCACAGCAGTAGATGCATCCACTTCTTAAGGCTCTGCAGAATCTAACTGTCCACTTTCTTATGAATTGTCTTGTTTCTTATGAACCTCATGGTTTCACCCTGGATTACAATGGTGGTGGCTATGCTGGATCTTCTCTTTAGGCAGTCAGTATGTAGTAAGGCACAATTCAATGCAATGAAACAGAGCTGTAGCCAGCCACCTTGTAGTTGACATCCACCATCGTCTGGAGTTCATTAAGATGGCTTGCAGGGAGAATTAGGTCATCTGCATCAGCCAGGATGTTTACCTTTTGTCCATAGAAATTTGAAACTTCCTGGGCTCTTGGCAACTTAAGCTGAGGAGCTTCATGGTCAGGTTTAAGATAATGGGGCTCAGATGACAGTCTTGTTTCATGCCATTCAGAACTGGTATGTCTTCTATTTCACCATCCGATGCCTGAATGATGGTGGTTCAGATGTTGTAGAACTTCTGGACCAACTGGAGAAATGTGGTCGGCATACCAACTTTACAGAGGGGGCTGAAGATGTACTGCTAGGGCATTGAGCCAAAGTTCTTAGAAAGGTTGAGCTGCACCACTACACACTGATATCCCATTCTTTGGATGTTGATAAAGGTCATCTGCAACACAAAACTGCTTATAGCAGCCTTCACTGGACACAGCTTTTCTTATATGGACTGATGACCTTTGCCTTGCATTGCAGCCCTAATTGTAGACTGAACAGTGATCTGGCATATAGTTTATGTATGGTGGAGCAAAGGGCAACAGGACTCCAGTTGTTCAGATAATCCAGCTAACCTTTTTTTAATTAAGCAGTTATGGCCTTATTCTAGGAGTTGGACTTGTGGCAAAATTCCTTGCACTCTCTCCTGTTTCCCCATTTTTTTCTCTACAAAACCTTTTAAAAACCTTTTTATATCACTTTGGTCACTATCTTGTTGCTGATAATGCTCCACTACTCCAAATTCTGCCCACCTGCAGACAAACTTGGCCAAAATGGTTTACCTTGGTTTCAGCTCCCCTATTGTCCCATGGTGCCTCCACCCTGATACCCATCCATTAACACTTAATTAACCATTGTTCTGAAGAGGCTGAAACATGGGAGGAGGGGCCATGTGTAAAGAAGAGAAATACCCATTATCAGAGGCATTTAATGATATAGCAATGTTCATAGCAACCTCACTTAATAATTTCATAATATCAATCAGAATTCATAAATGCACAGAGTTTCCCCCAATCCTTTCAGTACACAGTGCTTTTCCCAGATGTTGGATTGAAAGAAGTGTTTGCTAAGTGGGAGAACTACTTTTGTGGAGAGGTAATTAATATTAGGCCTATTTGGGCTGGCACTTTTAAGACTATGCTGCTTAAGCAAAGGAGAATTCTCTTGATACAGGATGGGGGAATTGGAAAAGAACAGCTTGTGGGAAGATGAAGTTGACAAATAGGCTACGCAGAGGCTGTTCTTCTCCCTGCAGGATTGGGAGGCCACTGCTGGACTATGTAACACATGACACAGTATAGACTCACTGATCTGTAAAAACAAAAAAAAAACCCAAAAACCCCCACCACCACAACAACCACAACAACCACCACCACCACCACCACCAAACAAAACAAAACACCAACAACCAAAACAAAACAAAAAACACCAACAACCAAAGCAAAACAACAACCAAAACAAAGCAAAGCAAAACAACAACCAAAACAAAGCAAAGCAAAGCAAAACAACCAAAACAAAACACCACCAACAACAACAAACAAAACAACAACCAAAGCAAAACAACAACAACCAAAGCAAAACAAAACACAACAACCCCCCCCGGAAAATGGAAAGATTTAGAAATCCCACAAAAAAATAGTATTGGGCAAAATGGCAGACAGGTTGGCTTTGGGTGGGGAAGGTCTATAGCTTTAAGAATAGCCTTACTTCTCCAGGTCTACACTGTCGGGAGCAGCTGCAGAGGAGTGAGATTCTGATGTCAGAATCCGGTGTCGAAGCTCTCGTTGTGCTAGTTGGAAGCTATTCATTAAAGTGACTAAAAATGAACATTTCTTAGAATTTTCAATTGACCTTCCTGCTTGCCTGCCTTTCAGGTTTTTTTCAAACTTCACCATGTCTTATATTTTTTTGATTCCCTCTACTTCCCTTTTTGAAGAGCCAAATAGGCTTTTTCTTTTAACAAGGTGCCAATTGCTTATGACAAAATTCATTTGAGACTTCAGCTAAAAAGAGATGCAAGTTTGGTAACAACTGAAACATGTAACATCAAACCACACCCCACCCCCATCCCCACCCACTCAGCTCCACAAGATGTATTGTGCTAAACAACAAGCATCTAAGGCAGCAATGGAGGGAGTAAGTGTGCTTGTACATGTGATGAAAATTGCCCATTTTTTGCAATTTAATTGCATCATGCTGTACATGTGTGGGCTTTTACAATTTAAATGAGTCTGTTACATTGCTAACTAAACCACACCTGTCTGTAGTTTAGTCTGCAACATAGTTTTTTAATACTGTTGCCGTCTTTTGACAGCTCATCATCACCCTCACCCCCTTCCTTGTAGAAGATGCAGAAGTTGTGAGGGGCCCAATGGTTTTGTTGTTTGTTTGTTTGCTTGTTTGTTTGTTTGTTTGTTTTTTGGAGAGACTGCCTGCATCTCCCACAGCTGGAGGGAGGAGGGGCATGAGCTGCTGGTGGGCTGAGCAACCCCTGAGGTGTGGGGAGCCCCAGTCTTTCCCTCCATGTGGGCTGCTAGCAGGCCATATCCTGCCCCCACTCAGGCTTGGGGAACAGTTGGATCAGGCTGGATGTTGCCTCTGAGCAGGGGCAGCATCCGCCCACTAGCCACCCACCCGGGCAACCCCAGAGGGCACCACTACCGCAGAGGAAAAGACCATGGCCTGTCACAGCTCAAGGCTGCCTCCAGCTTTCTCCTGAGCTGTGGGAGAGGTGGGCGGGTTCTGAAAGGAATTGATCCTCTCACTGCTCTCCTTTTTTCCAGCACAGCCTGCCCATGTAAGCTGCAAGTGGACCACGCAGCCCCTGCACAGTCATGGGCCCAGTCCTCCCTCTGTGGCAGCAGTGCCCTCCAGGGCCACTCGGGCAAGCTGTTAGTGAGCCACGGACTGTCTCAGCTTGGAGCCCTGTGGCAGGTTTTTCTGTGGCAAGCAGCTGCGGAGTGCTCAGGCTCACCACCCTGGACAATGTGGGGTTGCCCACAATTGCCCACCATTGATCTGCATTGACTTTCTCCTCTGATGGCTCTCCCATAGAAAATGATGAGCAAGAATCACAACCCAAGGACCCCCTCTTTGGGGCTCTTGTCTTCTCCAGTCTCTGTTCAGGGAGACTTGTAGTCAACCTGCATGCATAGTTCAAATAAGTGGGGCCTCTACCCAAGGGAGTTCATCTTTCACTTCTCCACTGAGCCTTTGGTGGAACTGAAAAAGCTGTGCAACCTTATTCCAGGATCTGAAATCCAGAGTGCTTTGTACCCTCATTAAAGGGACTCTGCTTGCTGAGCACCCATTTTCTGCTGTGATTCATTTCTTGTATATACACTATTATATAGAAAATATCGGCCACATGTTCTTTCCTGTTCTCCTGTCTTCCTACCCACATGCTAGAGAGCACAAGTTTCATTAAGCCCAAGGTCCATAATTAATGCCCTCTACAGAGGCAATATTGCATCAGATTCAAGGAGGGGTCCAATATCTGAGAGACCCACATTATATGTAAAATTACACATACTTCTGCTGGCAGAACACTTGCTCAAGAATGGAGGAATGGGAGAAGGAGATGCTGAACCAAGAGGAAGTGGAAATGCATATTTAGCAAGTTCCAGATACACAAGTGCAGATGACTTTTTTTTTTCCTGAGGGCTCTGAGGGATCAAAGTGCCAATATAGAGGCACATCCAAATGGTTCAGTTAGTCCTCCAAACACTTTCAAGGCTGTGGCTCACAAGGTGATAAGATCCAGGCCCATTGGGACACAGGGTGTGAAACAACATATTCTCACTCAAGGCCTGAATTGTTAATTTCCTGACCTTCCACATCCTTCCCTCCTACAGGGCTTCAGAACATCATCACTTGACCTGCAGGTATTATCTGTGCAGCAAGTTCATGTAACAAAAACAGGTGGGATGTCATTCTCAGTAGTTGCTCCTCAGCTCAGGAACTCCCTCCCCTTGTGCTTTATCAATTTTTTAGCTGTAATTATCACTTATTTTTTGATGAACAAATGAACTAATGAACAAATATTGTTGACAATGAGGGTCATAGGAGACAAGATTTGGATGAAGCAATGATAGTCCTCATTGACCAGAATGCAACCACTGCCTGTGTGGTAGGGGCCTCCAGGAGAGATGTTAGTAGGGATCTATCCAATGTAACGACTGGTATCAACCAGTCATCAGAGCAAATGCATTAGAGCTCTGGGATCCAGCATAGACTAGAAGGGCCCTTAATGTGGTGAGTGCATTGCATGAAAAGAAGCATCAACCATTTGACAGAAGCTACCAAATAGGCCAGAAGTCATCAATGGACAACTGAGGCAGAGAACTTTTTTTCGCATGAGCCTAAAGGAAGAATAACTCAGAAGGCTCTAATTTTCAATCTGGGTGAGTCAGAGAAGGAAGAAGATGAGCTGCCTCCATATTTGGCTCATCCTTAGCTAGGCCCATCCTTACCTAGGCTGGATGCCCTCCAGCCTCTGAAAGTGATCTATATGCACTACAGCTGCCTCAGTGGAAATGGCAAACATGTGGGAGGGGAGCTTGGGATCCATGAAGGTTTTATTGAAAAGGTCAGTGATGTCATATAAAGGATAACTTCCCCTTTACCTGCTCATCAGCTGACATCCAGCAGCACAACCCATTGCAAACTCTCATCCCCGTCAAGTCAGAACTATCTGGATACGATCAGGGCTTGAGAGGCCATCGCAAAGGCTCTAAGGGCAATGGTAACAAATGAGAAGACCCTACCTTTATAAAGAAAATGGAGAATAGATGGTTTAAAAATTATGGCCTGAACTGGAAACTTTTAGCCTGAATTCTCAAAAGACCAATATAGTAGTGTAAGAGAGATGTTGTAGCCATGATGGTTGAGAAATTGTGTGAGGCAAAAATTTCTTAGGGCAATATCTTTTATTGGACCAACTATGTACTTGGGATAAAGTTTGACAAACTTTTGGATACAATACATTCTCTCATGTCTGAAAGACAGATACTAAGCTTCAGAAAGTCATCCTAACTGTGAGGTCAAGAGCATGTGATAGCTTGCTGTGACAGACTTTTCATCACTGAAACTAAATCTGAACCTGTTGTCTGACCTTATTTTTTAAAAGATCCTAGTTTTTTCTTTCCTCTCTCCAAAATAAGCCAGCTCACAATAAATGTGCTTATGAATTATAATGACCCTCACTTAGAAGTTGACTGCCTCTGTCTCACCATCCTGCAACATGTTTCCTGGTCTATTCCCCAAGGATCAGGAAGACAAGAACTTTAGTCCCTCATTAGCCATCATTCCACCCCAATGAGCAACTTTTATCCTCCATTGTTGTATTGTGAGATGGCAGCAGCACAAAGACCCTATGCGGACAGGTGTGCTACAAATGCCATAGAGATGGAGGTAAGTATCCTCTCAAGACCACCTCTTGTCCTTTACTCTCCTATTTGCCTAGCATAGGAACACTCCAGCACCTCTAGCTTATAGCTCCCCCCTGCCCCCACTACCCTGCTTCTTCTGAAGTAGTGAAACAAAGCTAATGGCAATGCATTCCATATGTTCTGATTAGCTATAACCTCATTAACCCGCTTCCTCTTACAACAAAACTCTTCTGATAATGAATTTTTGTTCTGGAACAAATAAGTCCCTTTTTTACAAAAGACAAAAAGGGAGGGGGCTATTTTAGCATGTCTATTGTGTCTTTTCCCCCTCCTTTGAGAGGAAGACAAGGAAAAAAGGCAAAATGACAAGGAAAACCAAAACAACAACAAAAAAGCAATTGCTATATTTCAAAGCCAGTAAAAATTAGACTAAGCTGCAGCAGAAGCCAAATGGAAATCATAATTCTTCCATTTCCCTGGCTGCTCCGACACGTGTAATAGGCTTGGCAGAGATTCAGGGAAAACAGGGGCCAAGCTGTGGTGTGTTTAGAAGAATCTAAAGGCTGCTCATTAACAGGGCACCAGATTTCAGTGCAGCTCAAAGGAAGAAAGCCTGAAGCTGGTTCTGAAGCTTTCTACTTAAGGGGATAGGGTAGGAGTTGTGGGAAGACAGGATATAATACCAGGGTACTTTCCAGCTTGAAAACAAAGGCACTATAGTCCTATTAAATGTATTTTATTTTATTTTTAGATTTAATATAGTGCCCTAGGTGCTAGGCAAAATTAAAAACACCACAAGGATAAATATCCTTAATGCAGCAAAAGTACAGGGACTTTCAGCCAGGATGCAGTATTATATTGCCCACATAATAACGGAGAACACAATGAACCCAGCATGCTCAGTACTCCTAACAAATTCAT